GTATGCATCCGAAGAAGTGGGCTGTAGTCCACGAAAGCTTATGCTCTAATAAATTTGTTAGTCTCTAAGGTACCACAAGTACTCCTGTTCTTTTTCTCTTTGTTACCCTCAGGAGTGAAATATCAGCTAAAATCAACACTACCTGTGGAAAATGGTGCCAGCATTCAGTTCCATTGCCCTATACTCATAGTTTCATACCCCTGAGCAATTCCCTACTCAGTTCTCTCACCCCTAGCGGTCATACTCATCATTGCTTGAACTGAGAGTGGCACTGGGCATGAGCACTCCAAAGTAGAAGTGTCAATAAGCACGTCTTGTTTAACACCTTAGGGGAGCAAGGGAAGGTGGGGGGGAGAGTTCTGACTCTTAAGTTTTTCTTTCCATTCCTACTATACTGACAATGGTACCTCTGTGTTTTATCAGCTGCAGCTGCTGTGGCCTTGAGGGGGACCTCCACACCAGTGGAAGGACTGACCCAGATAAGGAGAAAAGAGAGGACATAGGAGGATGCGTTCTGTGAGATCCTGCAGCCAAATGCTGGATCAGAACATGAACTGAAGGCCTGGAGGGTCAATATTGCTGACTGTGTGGAGAAGAAAAAAGTGGACAGCTGAAAGGCCCAGGAGTCCCAGTCGGAAAAGGAGAGGGAGATGCACCAGGACAAAATGAAGCTTCTCTGGCAGCAAACACAAATTCTGCAGACTCACCGTTCAACAATCCTGGGCTAGACTTCCAATGCAGTTTGTGGAGAACTGCAGAACAGCACCTTCCTACACCCCCTCAGCATTCCACATGGCCTCAGGGCCCACACACCTACCCCTGCCACTCCACCTTGAGGGAAAGCATGGACAGCCGCAGCGGCATGTACAAATCAACTGTAGCTCTCACAGGTCAGTCTGTATCACTACAATGGATATCAGTGTTCCTTCCTCTTGTTTATTTATTAAAGTTCCTAAAAAAATTTAAGTTAAAAAGTATTTACTTGTAACTTCAGATTTTTTGGGGAGCTATTTTTGTAAGTAAATAAAAATCTTTTGTTTTGAAAGCAATTAATCTTTATTAGTTTACAACACATGATGTGAAATGCCTGCTGCCAGTGAAAGTAGTGGTCTTGTTCTCACAACCCATAGGATCAGTGCCAAACAGTGTAGTCATAATAAATGTACACCAAGCACCCCAGCATTAATAGGTGCACTGTCAGTGATACATGCACAGGTGTGCAGAAAGCATCACACAATTTCTACAGC